GATACTTTTAATTAGCTTCATAACACGGTTTTAAAACATACTACAATCCCAGCAACATTACAATCCCAGCAACATTACAATTCCAGCAACATTACAATCCCAGCAACATTACAATCCCAGCAACATTACAATCCCAGCAACATTACAATCCCAGCAACTTGGCAATTATCTGTCAACACATTCATTAAACCACTGGTTCTCAACCTGCCCTATGCCCAGACCCTTTAGTACAGTTCCTCATGTTGTGGTGACCCCAACCATCAAATTATTTTAGTTGCTACTTCATAAATGGGTGTTTTCCGATGGTCTTAGGCGATCCCTGTGTGAGGATCGTTCGACCCCAAAGGGGCTCGTGACCCACAGGTTTAAAACCGCTGATTTAAACACATACTACCGTCCCAGTTTAACTGAAATTACTCGGCAGTTAGAGGCAGTGGTCATTCAATGAACTATTTTAAAGCTCCACGCAGTAGGCCATGGATCTATAACCTTGTGATTTATTTCCCAGGCGTTAATGAAAAAAGGGTCGTAGATCAATGTGTTGCTACGGTATCACTTAATCAAAAGCCTAGTCTTTGTATCTTCAGCTGGGAGCGAATACTCCCATTGGATTTTTTTAAGTCGACGTTGATTTGTATTCAATACATGAATGAAGGGGAAATGATTCTTCTGGTAAAAACCTGAGAGTGTTTTCAGCCTTTCGATTCTCGTTCCTGGATTCATAAACGAGCTCGCGATATTTTTAGTCTTAATTCTCAAAGGACAACATCTCGTGGTGTTATTTTATGATTCTATGGTGCTATTTTGTGGTGCTATTTCATAGTGTTATTTTATGATTCTATGGTGCTATTTTATGGTGCTATTTCGTAGTGTTATTTCATCTCTTTAAAGGATTAAATATTTTTCGCGTTTAATTAAGAATAGATAGTGTGATGGTGTGCTGTCCTTTGCAAGCTGTCGTTGGTTCGTACATTCAATTTAAGGGGTGCGTGCTACCACCGTTAAGCCCCGGCCCGGGCCGGGCTTGGTGTTATTTATATGTATAAATATCAGCAGACAATGTTAAGCGAAATTCTTGATGCCTGTACTTGAAGAGGAGAATGTGTGGGTTTTTACATGTGTGGGAGTTTAACACTGTGAGCTTAAGCATTGTGTCCACTGCCGTCACCTGTATTTTAGTCGTTCTGCTTTTATCTACTGGCCTACCTGCGACTTCGTTGTTGCGTTCGATTTATATCTTGGCGTGTTTAACCGAGAATTATTTTATCGCTGAAGGTACGCGTCTTCCCGTGTGTAGCATGTCAAGGCGACAGGGTGACCTAGACTTCATTGTACCTAGTGGCGATTGACGTTTGACAGTTGGTGACGGATTGGTGGTTCAGACTTAAAACCATTGAGGGGAAAAATTGCGGGGGGCGGACGGGGGTGGGGGGATACTTGAGCATCTCATTCATTTCTCATTGTCTATTGTTATTCTGTGTATAGTCCGCCTTTTGTTTAGTTATAACGCTGAATTTGGGACTTGGTACTATTGTATACAAGGCTGTAAGTTGGGGCATGGTGCTAGTGTATACAAGCCTGAAAATGTGCTCCCCTCGTTTCATCAATAAATCATACACGATACTCCCACCTCTAAATATAAATACATATTTATCTATTGATGTATTACACACTATTTTGCCCCCCCCCCCACCGAAGTTTACGCCCGGGGCGCCTGCCCTCTTCACCTCCATCGTATGACCCTGAGTGCAGGGTTAAATAATTCAACCTGTTGTTTCTATAAGATTGTTCTGTTAGTTCTATAGCAATGTTCTATCAGTTCTATACGATTGTTAAATTAGAAGATTGTAGCTGAATATCAGCCAATAAATAGATTCTCTGAGCTCAGATATACTTACTCTCTGCAGTCTAAGTAGACCTGTACGTACACTGTCATTGACCTTGACCTAAATCAATCACGTCTACTAGCTATGACCCAGTTATGGCAGAGTTTTAGGGAAATGTGCAGAGCTTAACTCGGGGCCAAGTCATTGTGAGGTTGTATTATTCACCATGCGCAAAAAATGAAAATCTTAGCCAACTTCATGCATTATTCTATGATTGCAAAGTAGAGAATAACTTTACTGCTGTGCACGTCTGCGCTGCTGTTCAAAGCACGCTGTTGACATGGAAACTGCTAACTTTGTTTATCTTTTCATTTGAACTAAAACTACGCGTGTTTACATAATAGCTGTCAATCAAATATCCAGATGTAGTTTTGCCAGATGAAGCGCCATTATTTTATTACTAAAGCGGCTGACCGTAGCATGGCTATGTAGCCGCCTCATGTTAGCCACAGATGTAAGCATTGCAAGGGGTTGGGGGGGCGGGGGGTGTTCTTCCAAACCCCCAAATAATGTATTAACATAGATCGATATAAGACATCGCCGAAATGGAGTTGATAGAAAGTTGGTAAAGGTACGACCTAATTGGAAGGCAAGTGTGATATAGCCTTGCAATTGTCACATTGTAACAGTACGTTAGTTTTGTCAAGTGCCGTTATGTTGGAAAAGTGTGGGGGGGGGGATTTAGAAGTGACATGAACATGATGTCTTTTGTTGTGGTAGGGTTACAGTGACATGATGTCTTTTGTTGGGGTAGGGTGACAGTGACATGATGTCTTTTGTTGTTGAAATGATTTCTTTCGTGAGTGACATAGACAGAGCATTGTGTGTGTGTGNTTAAATAGTTGTTTAACTAACTAATTTTTACCATGTCGAAAAGAATAATAAAAAAAGTAGCCGTTTTAGGTAGCGGCGTAATGGGCAGCAGAATTGCCTGTCATTTTGCAGGGGTGGGATTGAAAGTGTTGTTGCTGGACATACAGCCGAAGGACCTGCCTGCTGATGCAAAGGTTGCCGAGAAAAATAAGATTGTAAATGATGGTCTGGCTGCGGGTAAAATAGGGGCATGTAAAGGACCAAGAAATTATACTCATGAATTGTCACAAAGATCATTCGAAAGTGGACGACCGTCAGAATACTTAGTGACAAAAAAAAATTAAATTCCATATTTTCTCCAACGTGTGTCACTAAAACTACGCGTGCCTCCCTAAAACAAAGTGGAGATATCATTCACATCCGTGTGTGAACCATTGCTTGTATGTTTGTGTGTAGATTTGTTTGCATGTGGTAGTAGGTGGGTGACCGACATACCACAAATGTCATGGTGACTTTGTCGAATGCTGTGTTTCCAAAATGGTCATTGACGAACGAAGCAAGCTTTGAAACATGTGATGTGAATGTCGTTCTATGGGCGCCCCAACATGAAACATGTGATATGAATGTCGTTCTGTGGGCGCCCAACATAAAACATGTGATGTGAATGTCGTTATATGGACGCCCCAACATGAAACATGTGATGTGAATGTCGTTCTATGGACGCCCCAACATAAAACATGTGATGTGAATGTCGTTCTATGGGCGCCCCAACATGAAACATGTGATATGAATGTCGTTCTATGGGCGCCCCAACATAAAACATGTGATGTAAATGTCGTTATATGGACGCCCCAACATGAAACATGTGATATGAATGTCGTTATATGGACGCCCCAACATGAAACATGTGATATGAATGTCGTTATATGGACGCCCCAACATGAAACATGTGATGTGAATGTCGTTATATGGACGCCCCAACATAAAACATGTGATGTGAATGTCGTTATATGGACGCCCCAACATAAAACATGTGATGTGAATGTCGTTCTATGGACGCCCCAACATAAAACATGTGATGTGAATGTCGTTATATGGACGCCCCAACATGAAACATGTGATGTGAATGTCGTTATATGGACGCCCCAACATAAAACATGTGATGTGAATGTCGTTATATGGACGCCCCAACATGAAACATGTGATATGAATGTCGTTATATGGACGCCCCAACATGAAACATGTGATGTGAATGTCGTTATATGGACGCCCCAACATAAAACATGTGATGTGAATGTCGTTATATGGACGCCCCAACATAAAACATGTGATGTGAATGTCGTTATATGGACGCCCCAACATGAAACATGTGATGTGAATGTCGTTATATGGACGCCCCAACAATGCACGTTGCTCCCAGTCGCATCTAACTAAGGATTAAATGTCACGGCTTTGGGGTTGGGGTATCTTAGCGGTCAAGACAAAAATCTTTTTATTTTTAAATTCCACAAACTTAAAGTGCACGACGTCAATGTATCCGAAGTACCCGAAAATGAAAGAATGCATTTTGATGTCTGATTTATGTCTTACAAAATGGAGATGATCGCTGTGGCAGAAAATAGACATGGAAACGTAAGGATCTTTGAACCAATGAGTAACAGAGAAAATAATCAAAATATCGGACGAATAGTGACTATAATTATTTTTTTTTTTTTTAAAGTTCTAACATGAAATAAGCAGCTAAAAAAAATGACACCAAAAATTAAAAAAAAAAGACAATTTTAAGTTGATTCACCGTACACAAATGTTCAACGAAGTCAAAATAGTTTAGCTAACTCACTAACGTCAGTTCACACAATCAAATTCCTTATGAATTAGATACAAATTAGATACAAATTAGCTTCAAATTAGCTTCAAATTTTTTTATGAACGCACTATTTTGTGTGTGGTTTCCATTTTTTTTTTTTTTTTTTTGGAAAAAAATAAGAATTTGATCAAATAGTGATTTTAAATTTGTGACAAGGCTTCCTACAAAAAAACGCATCAAATGTATGAATTAAAAATTTCAAAGGAATTTGATCGTGTGAACTGAGCTTTTAAATGTGTCCATGGTGTGTTTTCTCAGTTTGTAACACGTGTATCTTTCTAATCTGTGACACGAGTGTTTCCATAGTGTGACACACGTGTCATTTTCTCNTTCAAATTTTTTTATGAACGCACTATTTTGTGTGTGGTTTCCATTTTTTTTTTTTTTTTTTTTTTTGGACAAAAATAAGAATTTGATCAAATAGTGATTTGAAATTTGTGACAAGGCTTCCTACAAAAAAACGCATCAAATGTATGAACTAAAAATTTCAAAGGAATTTGATCGTGTGAACTGAGCTTTTAAATGTGTCCATGGTGTGTTTTCTCAGTTTGTAACACGTGTATCTTTCTAATCTGTGACACGAGTGTTTCCATAGTGTGACACACGTGTCATTTTCTCGGTGTGTCGCCGGTGTGTTCATCCTAATGTTTCACGCGTGTGGTTTCTTTAAAAAAAAAAATGTGATTCTACCAAACCTGATGCATTGGAGTGTTTGTTTCCCCATTACAGTTATAGAAAGAGCCACAAATAATCTCATTTATGTTGGTGTTGTATAAGTACATGTTCCTTCAAAAACGTAAATGACCACGCCATCTATATACGAACTGCGTGCAAGGCCTTGAGTTAAAACAACTTTATTATTTTTATTTTTTTAGAGGATGTAGGTATTGCACAATTTAAAAAAGAGAGAGAAAGAGAACTAAAGTTATTGGTAATGACATTAGGGTAACATGGAAGTTGTGTGACGTTGCAAACCTGCCTTGGTGGGCTGCCGTGTGACGTGTGTCATCAAAGTGTTAAGAAGAACACATCAATTTTATTCGAGTGTCCGGTTGGGTTTCTTTTAATGTTTGCGGTGTGTCCTCTACGCAGTACTTCGTCAAATGTTTCTTAGTCGATGATCGTAGTGCGAACGACATGAATGTCCCAGGGACATTTCACGCCATTTTGATTGGCTTCTGCTTGGTGTTAGTGGCGCCACCTGGAATATTTCCCGCCAAAGACCCCACGGATAAGGACGCGGAATATGTCGACAATAATGCTGTGAGCTCCTCAAAAAGCAACACGAAATCAACCACACCCTGCCCTAGATGGAAATCAAGTAGTAAGTTGTTGTTTTTTTCGGGGGGTGGTCGAGGCAGGACTGCCAACTCGGTGAAATAAAATTTACTGTTTCTCTTGTTAAGTCTTTTTTCCGATTGTATAGGACGATCGTCACTGCGTCAATTATTTTTGGGTACAGTTGGCTTTTTTTTTTATTTATTTAACGCATAAGTCAGTAGAAGACAGTTTGCGTGGGCTTAAACATTGAAATCCACCCCAAACGTTGAACTTTGAAGGTTATCTCTAGAAAGAGAGAGAAAATTGTGAATATAGAAATTCATGCATAAAAAAACAAGGAAAAAAATAATGTTAATATTAATCACAAGGCAATGGTCTAAATAAAATTTTAAGGTGCAACAGGAGAGGAAAAAAAGGTTGAGAAACACTGACCTACGCTATCTTGTTACACGAAACAAAAGAAAAGAAAACAAACAGGTCTATCATTTGAGGAAAATGTAAGACTCGCCGACGCTAGACAGGTAACACTAACTGGTTATGTATGCAAACAACACTCAGGAATACTTTTATAATTTATAATTAACATAGTAAATTAAACTTAAACAACATTAAACGTATACAACATTAAACTTATTCAACATTAAAATTATACAACATTAAACTTATACAACATTAAACTTATACAACATTAAGCTTATAGACTCTTCTCACAAAAGATCAGTGCAGTATTCCGATTACTCCAACATCAAAGGATATTTTCCTAAACTTTAGAGAATGCTTCGGAGATAACACAACGACAATCTCACCAGATCTAACCCCTTTTAAAAAAAAAAACGCCAGCACCTGTTTTGTGGTGGGAGATTCTCGCCAGACATCTTATTATTCGAAAAAACCAGAAATAAGAAAAAGAAGAATGCATAGATGAAAGGCAATAAAATACATTAGTAGAGTATCGATATTCCGATGTCATTGGGTCCGGTTATGCTTCGGATAACATATTTTCCGGATAACCGAACACTGCTACGGAATGAGTGCGTTAAATAAATAGGTATTCTTGCCTAATAGTTTATACACGTAGCGTGCTTTTATTATACAATGCAGTCATTATTACGGCATGGTGTCTAAAAACCGATTAGGACTGGGAGATTTTTGTCTGTGAAAAGAAAACGTTTTAAAAGATAGATGACTTGCGCTTGAAATAAATAAACGAGTTCACATTAAAATTTGCTTTACAGGTGTAACTCTGCAATATTAATTAATAAATAAGCTTTTATAGTTCACGAAATGAAAATGCGCAGCATGCTTCTAGATTTCACGCACGTCCGTATTGTGTGAAATGAGTCGGAGTTTTGTCCGGTTGTTTGTTCAATGCCAATGCTCCAATGCCATGCGCATTGCTGACGGTGGTGTCTCTTCTTTTTTAAACATGGGTGGTTGGGATAACCGAAGTTTCGTTGTAACAGGCGTTCGGAAAATCGACGCTCTACTGTAATCAGAATTATTATCAAATTCTGATTTTTATATAAACTTTTTTGAAAAACATGTTTAACACTTCATAGGAAACCTTCATGTACGTGAAAGGTATTCATTTATTGAGCGGTGCGCAACTCCAACTAAATGGACCAATGTCATCATGTTTAATTAACACCGGTACATATACTTATGATTTCAACAAAAAAAAAAAAATGATGTTTCTAGAAATATAATGTGTTGTTTTTTTTCTCAACAAAAAAAAAAAAAAAAAGAATAATTTGTAATTTTGATTTGATTTTTTTGTGCCATGGCCAGATACCGGTACAGTGATGACGTCATTCATGTGAAACTAAAACATTTGAAACGTGTGTTGTTTGTGTCTTTCTCTCTAATCAGATGGCTGTGGCCGAACTCCTGCACGGACCAAGCCCCCACCTACCACCCCCAACCCCAATGACAAGACGACCCTCCCTCCAACCACACGGCGCCCCGGGGGGTTCAAGCAGCCGTGCAACTCGATTGAGGAAAACAGGGCAGCCTGCCTCAACGAGGGCAAGTGTTTCACGCTCGAGCTCATGGGAGAGCGCTCGGCCCACTGCCAGTAAGTCGTGCAGAGAGAGAGCAGGACGAGATGCAATGGCGGATCCAGGAGATGATATGCTGGGTTTTGTTTGTTTGTCTGGTTTTTTGGTTTTTGCTTTTTTTTGGTGGGGGGTGGGGTTGTTAGGGCAGAAACTTGACATGGTTTGTGGAGGGGCTTTAGGGTACATTGCAATACATTGAAGTACTTGGGCTTTTTTTCCTTTTCTTTTATTCTTATAAATTCTATAGGTATTTAATTTTTCAAAACACGACCCGGTGGGGGAGGGGGGGGGGTAAAGGGGTAGTGGGGAAGGGCGCAATATTCCCTGGAAATATAAATAACTTTTTTTTTCATTTACACCAGTAAAACAATTTGAAGATGCTCATAAAAAAATAAAAAATTGTTGGTGTTGGAGTAAACTGTTTGAATATTTTTAAATACATTTTTTTTTTCCTCTAAGATAGTAGCTTTTACTGCACTCATCAACGCTATTCGGAGCGATAAGAATGTCTAGTTGAAAAGAAATATTCATTTTTGCTAATTAATCGAGCCCTCTTCTTTGATGATTATATAGCATGATGATAATGGTATTCTCACTTTTCAGACAATGTTTAACAGTGGTTCCCAACCTTTTTTTTTTTTAATCGCTGAGCCCCTTTTTAGAACCAATTCCTATAGGAGGACTCTTATGCCTACCCTGTACCTTACTAGTTAAGAGTGTTTAGGAGTTTTCTGGAGCCCCTGAGAGGAGCACTATGGGCTCCGTGGAGCACAGGCTAGAAACCACTGATATATATATATATATATATATATATATGGAGAGAGAGAGAGAGAGAGAGAGAGAGAGAGAATTATCACAGACACACGCTCATTGCATAAAGAAATTGTCACTATAATATAATGTCACTAACAGTTGCCTTATTAAGAGTGTTTAGGAGTTTTCTGGAGCCCCTGAGAGGAGCACTATGGGCGCCGTGGAGCACAGGCTAGAAACCACTGATATATATATATATATATATATATATATATGGAGAGAGAGAGAGAGAGAGAGAGAGAGAGAGAATTATCACCGACAAACGCTCATTGCATAAAGAAATTGTCACTATAATATAATGTCACTAACAGTTGCCTTATTACGTTCCCAGTTGCCCAGAGATGTACAAGGGACATCGCTGTGAGGTCATTGACAGCGACATCTACGGTAATCTTCCTTCTTTCTCCCTTCATTATCACACATTCATTGACTTCTCTTTTTTTTTTTTTTTGGAAATAATCTAATGTGAATATTTTGAACCTGGCCGGAATTTCCCGGAAATCGGAGACTAATAGTTTGAACATGAGCGGGGTAGTGANTTTTCCTGGACCCCCACCCCCCCCCCCCTCAAAACCCATCTTCTACTGCCTCGTTAGGTGGAAGACGTTGAGTTGAAATATTTCAGACATTTATATTCCTATTGACTGATGCTGTCGGATTACTATCGCATTCGTGAGAACTCTTGAAATTTAATGGAAGGAAGGAAAAGTTTGGATTGCGTCGCCCAGTGGTCGGCAAACTCAATAGCCCAGTAGTTGGCAAACTCAATAGCCCAGTGGTCGGCAAACTCAATAGCCCAGTGGTCGGCAAACTCAATAGCCCAGTGGTCGGAAAACTCAATAGCCCAGTGGTCGGCAAACTCAATAGCCCAGTGGTCGGAAAACTCAATAGCCCAGTGGTCGGCAAACTCAATGGCCCAGTGGTCAGAAAACTCAATAACCCAGTGGTCGGAAAACTCAATAACCCAGTGGTCGGCAAAATTAATAGCCCAGTGGTTGGCAAACTTAATAGCCCAGTGGTCGGCAAACTCAATAGTCAAAAGAGCCAAAAAATGAGCAACATGACGACTAAAAATTTTTGAGAGCCAAATTTCAAGAACCTGTCAAGAACCATGTTTTTCGGAGTCAAAACCGATCTGCGGCCGACTGGCCGAGCCGCACTCAGGTCGTTAAAGAGCCGTATGCCTTCTCGAGAGCCACGATATGCCGACCACTGGCGTTGCCGACCACTGGCGTTTCCCACCACTGGCGTTGCCGACCATTGGCGTTTCCGACCACTGGCGTTGCCGACCACTGGCGTTGACGACCCCTGGCGTTTCCGACCACTGGCGTTGCCGACCACTGGCGTTGCCGACCACTGGCGTTGCCGACCCCTGGCGTTCCCGACCACGGGCGTTGCCGACCACTGGCGTTGCCGACCACTGGCGTTTCCCACCACTGGCGTTGCCGACCATTGGCGTTTCCGACCACTGGCGTTGCCGACCACTGGCGTTGCCGACCCCTGGCGTTTCCGACCACTGGCGTTGCCGACCACTGGCGTTGCCGACCACTGGCGTTGCCGACCCCTGGCGTTCCCGACCACTGGCGTTGCCGACCACTGGCGTTGCCGACCACTGGCGTTCCCGACCACTGGCGTAGCCTATGTTTAAAGAACAGATCGCGCAAACGGAACGGAGGCGAGGAAATGAGGGGAAGGAAATAAACGCAGGGGCCCAAGCAATGCGCCGAGTTTTAACTGGAAGAAAGTCATGGAGTGGTTTAGTTCACAGAGGTTCAGGGGCGAAGGTTAATAATCTTAATGAAGATCAAACAGATGTTATCATTGTAATAAGAGGACTCATAATTTTGCCGCCGCCCAATATATTTTTTAAAAAAATAGAAATGTCAACTTTCACCTCGAAAATTCCAAATTCCTAAAAAAAAAAAAAAAATTCTATCTAATGTGTGTGTTACCATACCCTTCATTTATCACTTCACTATGTGTCCCCCGCATACTGATGTCTTTTCCTACGTTTTACATCAAAACATGAATCATTTCAACCATATGAATCAACAATAATCACGCATATTTATTTTCCCATCTTCGCATCAATTGCAGACAAGGGTAAGAAAGCAATTTTGTTCCCTTGATAATGAATGTGGCTTCTCGCCCTTAAACGTCTCACAGTCACCTCCCCTTCCCTTTTACGACATCGTCGCTGTGGTCACCTGCCAATTTTTATGTCCCATCATTCACGTTCCCACTTGCCAGTGTGAATTAGAATAGGTTATAGCTTTAGAAAGAAAAAAGAAAACTTTAACATCTGTGGTGTCTGCCTTGTGATGTCAAAGCGTGTGTTGGAGTGACCCCCCACTCACTTCTTAAAGACAGGCCTGTCCTAAGATCCTATTTTTAGCCAAACCTTGACCAATCGGTAACTGCATGTTTTCACCCTCGCTTTAGTTTATAGTGGTCAAAAACCTTTCAAGCGGTGCTTCTCAATTTCGGGCTATCTCCTCTCTCGAAAGAGGGTGATAAATGAAGAACTGCGTTCAAGCCGTGTGAAGGATTTTGGGAGTTAACCCCCGGGGCGGCTAATAGTCAAGGTTCAGCCCCGGAGCTATTGTCGTAGTTTGGTATTATCATAACAATAGTCCCAACAATAAAAAAAAAAAGGCAGACTGCGCTGTGCAGGACATATTTGAAAGGATGCCGGAATGTAGAGCTGCAAAAGTGATATACACGCAGAAACCTTGGGCAGACGACTCACCGGTCGCCCAAGACTGAGAATGTGGTGGAGCAGGCCAGGGTCCTCCATGGGCTGTTGCGCCACTGATGATGATGGTGATGTAATTTAAATCAAGCTAAGCCGATCAATGTCCATGAAGCGTGGGTTCTATTGCTCAAATGGGCGTCTGTTGGCTGCAACTCTGAGACAAAAAAAATGGACACTCTGAAACCTGCTCTTGCATTTTAAAACAATAACTAGTTGTTCAATGTTTTCATAAGCTTTATTTTTCTGAGGAGTGCTCGTTTCGATTTCAAAGTCTTTACATAGTTTCACTGCAGGAAGTCATTGGCTCCACCTTGGCATTGTTAACAGTATGTCCCTGTTAAATTTGTCAATGCCACAATCAAGGTAGAGCTGCACAAAAAATTATGTTTCTAATTTTATGATGTATAGAGACGCCGTTAACGTCAGTGGCAACGAAAACCGTGGTGAAAACCGGGGCTGCCCAGCCTCAGCCAGATGTACTAGTAACATATCTGGGAATTAAAAACTGGTTGGCGGACCAAAAATGGTACAGGCAGAGGGCAGACAAAACGACAGCCAGAGGTTTATTCGCTAACTTGCCGGCTCCTGGCAGACAAGACCCATGGCGGGGGTTAGGTCGCATGCAGCAGAGTCTAGTGACACAGATGCGCACTGAGCACTGAGCACTGCTCCATCTGCACATACTTCAACAGGCCAAATAATAACAGAGACCCTACCTGCCGGCATTGCAGCCTGGTCCCAGAAACACTAGCTCATCTGTTGACCGAATGTCCCTCACTAGACGTTCCGGGAGAAGTCAGGTGAGGAAAATGCTGTATGGCTCATCTCAACAGAAGGAGCTGGTAGCCAATGTGCTAGCCGGGGTCATAAGAGAATAATCTCAGAGACTCACCAGAATAGGTGTCTTAGTTAGAGGCATCGTTTCTTTACTCTAATATTATAAGATAAGATAAGATTATTTTATTAATGCAAATAAACATATTTTTATTCCAAGCTACATATTTATTATTAGCACATACATAAACACATATTTTAACCAAGTCAACATTTTACAATTATTAGTTAAACACATGACATCTAAAATTTTCTGTAGTGTAGAAATCAGCCATCATTGAACTCCTTTAGAACAATAATGACTTAATTAGTGATCTTTTAGATTGGGTAACTGATGGGGGAACACGTTGGTAAATTCGTACAGACTGGGGAACAAACTAATTTTTAATATCTTTTGGTCCTAACTTTAAGAGAAATAATTCGCCCTGATCGAGCTGATCTTAGGTATATGTGATGAAGAGGGTGGCATGTGTCATCAAAAAAAAAAAAAAAAAAGTTTTACGACAGCATTTTAATGAAACAAACTAATTTTTAATATCTTTTGGTCCTAACTTTAAGAGAAATAATTCGCCCTGATCGAGCTGATCTTAGGTATATGTGATGAAGAGGGTGGCATGTGTCATCAAAAAAAAAAAAAAAAAGTTTTACGACAGCATTTTAATGTTGTTCCATGAAGACATTAATAAGGCAGTGCCACAGGTTTCCGATACCACAGATCGTGTTATTATTTTAGTTTACATATGTACTTTTCCAAGTGATATGACCAGAGAATCTTGAAGCGCCCTTCATGACACTCCCAAACCCTCGAGTGTGAAAATCCAACATGAGCTTTATATTACCTCACTCCTAAAATTTTACGTCTCTCCCAAATGTTTATGTCAAACTTAATTATAAAGGACCATCGATTAATCACGCTCACACGAATGCGGATAAAGAGGTAGTGGTGGTCGGAATATTGAAATTATGAAATCTATAAATAGGCTAATTATTTAATTTATTTAATTAATCTTAAATTTTTTGCAAAAAATATTCTAAATATCACCGCAATGTTTCTTGATTATCGTTCTGCTGTTGCTTGTTTGTTTTCACAAATGAACTTGTTAGATATCGCTCTTATTGTGCATTACAATTCATAAGTTATTACTTTCTTCTAAATTGTAAATCGCTTCTAAATCATTAGGCACTCCTTAATTATTACATCACTCCTGAATTTGTTACGTCACTTTTAATTACTCATCCGATTTTCGTAGAAGAGACTTATTACTTATTGTTGTCTCGTTTAAAGTTTGACTTTTTTATTCACATGTTTTGTTGCTTTGATACATGTTAAACGATTCAGTTACTAAAAGACAATTTAAGTACGGTAATTATTTCTTGAATTGAGTATTTTTCTCCAAATTTGCTTTTGATGTTTAGCATAGATTAGTGCATTAACTTATAGAACTAATTACTAAATATGAGTGAATTGTCGAGTGGTGCTGGTAGTGTTGGCTTATTTGTGTTTTAATTGATTGACCTACATTCTAGTGAAGACGATATTAAATAGTGTAGCAAAACTACTGTAAGACCATTTTTCAAGAGAACTAATATATATATATAATATATATATATATATATATATATATATATATATATATATATATATATATTATATATATATATATATATATATATATATATATATATATATATATATATATATATATATATATATATATATACTTATTTATAAAGGGCTTCTTAGGCTCGCGTAATGTCAATAGAACCCAATTAATGAATGTCATAATCAAACAATTTTGGGAATTTCTATTTTTCGTTCATCTGATACTGAAGTTTCGTTTGTTGAGATATTCTTGGTTACTCATAATCCTGCTGTAGGAAACTTCTTTTTTTTTTTTGTTCAATAGTTTTACTGCTGAAGTACTGTGTGATTCTTATTCAGCCTATTCTATCCCTCCATGTGACGCTACAGCCCATATAGGGCTGCCACTTGGATTCCCAGCTGCTGTAGATCTTTTTCCACAGTATAATCCAATAATCATATCCATATCCAGGCATAGGTTGATTTCCATTGGTATAAGTCCGGGTTTTATTCTGTTGATTCCTATTTTAGCATAGGTTAAATAGATCCTAGATGGCATTACGCAATCATTCGTTGTATGCCTAAAGGCTAAGGTTATGTTTAGAGTGCGGCTTGGGTGGGTTTGAGAGTACAGTGAGTAAATTAACTTTATTTTTAGAATACAGCTTACCGTAGATTTATAGGCCTGGATTTGGAAAGTTTTGACAGTTTCCATTTACTTTAGGAAAACGTAATCCATATGTTGATTGGCAATTCTAGTTTTGGAATTCTTGAAACTTTCATAATAGGAATTTCAAACCCCGATGAATACTTATACTTATGCATAGAGGAATTAAGACATCAGGCCCTAGATAGAGCTAGATAAAAATAATATGTATGATGTTCCTATAGTCGAAAGCCTATATGCCTATAATATAGAATAGATCGATGAAGAACGTTATACTTGTAGCCGTGAAATGATTTAATGCGTTTGGGAAACACCACATTTTCACAACTCTTTTCATTTAGTCATTTCTTTCAGAATTTTTTCCAGTCTAGTCTGACCATTTCAATTTTTTTTTAAAATAAGTGTACTTTTAATGTTACAAAACAAAAGGTTCTATATAATTTAAGTTTGAGTATTTAATAACATTTTCTAATATACCCTTTCAGTGTTCTCTGCGGACAAAGTTGAAAAAGCAGGTATCGCTGCTGGAGTTGTTGCCATTATTATCATCATCACAGTCATCATTGTGTATCTCGTCATTAAAAAAAGGTAAGTCAAATAGACAATGGCTAAAATTATTACCAAACAACGTTACCGTTGTAAGGGGACTTGATGTCCGATGAGAGAAATTTGAATCTGCGCCCCTTCTGGTGGTGACGCTCCTTCTGGTGGTAGCGCCCCTTCTCGTGGTGGCGCCCCTCTGGTGGTGACGCTCCTTCTGGTGGTAGCGCCCCTTCTCGTGGTGGCGCCCCTCTGGTGGTGGCGCCCTACTGGTCGTGGCGCAATTAGGGCTTTCATTGTGCCTCTAGGCATTTGTGCTTCATTTTTTGGATTAGCACCTGGCACTCCCCTTGCAGCAATATTTTTCATTAACTTAAATTGGTAGAAATATTTTTGTAAAGCCGTTTGCCACACAAGAGATATTTATATAATGGTAGCACACATTGGTTAATCTTACATTTTATTTAGAATATTAAAATGATTTCTTTATCATGTCATTATTTAATATTGCCCTGCTTTAAGGCGAGAGTTTGTCAAACTCCAGAGCACTATGCAGGAGGCCCTTGTTTGATATGTCGCAAATATTATTGAAATAAATTTTATTTATTATTCTCTTAATAATCTGTTCTTACCAACAACAACTGGAGAAAATACCCCTTTAAAATGTGTAGGCCCACAGGAAAGAAGTTTTCCTTTAATGCTGTTATAATTCCAATTATCCTTTTCTAGAAAGAAAAGAAGAAAGAGATCAGCAGAAAATGGAGACGCTAATGGACACGCAGGCAAACTGTTGGCAAATGATCCAGATAACAAAGGGGTAAATTATAATGATATTGAAATGGGAGAGTGGAAGAAAAAGTGCTTAAGTAGGCCTTCAACAGAGATTTAGAGGACCAGTTTTCATTGCTTGAAAGGTAGAACCAAAAAATATGTCTTTTGAACATTTTATTATGGGAGTTGTTGTTTTGTTAACATTTCAAGTAACCAAATTAACTACACTACTTTGGATTCTCGGTTTATATTTTCCTAGAGCCAGTTATGAAATGTTGTTGGGTACTTTTTATTAAAATTAATTCCATTTTATTGCAAAAAAAAATATTTTATTGTGAAAGTGATTTTGGCACTGTGCCTAAGAAAGTTTAAAATTGTTCTATAGTGACATATTTTAAAGAGTCGATGGATATACTTAAAGATGAGGGTATTCTAACTTAAATTATTGTTATTTGAAATAGGTGGTTAGTCAAATTATTATTATTTTTTTTTTTTTAATTCAGCAAAACACAGATCTGGAAGAGGCAATGACACTTACCACAAAAGTATGACTATAGTGAAAAATTTGATGGAACTATTTTTGGAAATCTGCTTCATGAGTGTAACCCTTAAGGTCAGAGTACTCTGCCTAAGGGACCCAACACTTTATTTATAAAGTTATCTGGTGATTGTGATGTGACTTTAAGCAATTTTTATTGAGATTATGACAAGGAATAACCTATCAATAGCATTTAAATAAAGATTAGGAAATTTCAAGAATTTTGATAAATGTTTATCACCCTTGTAATAGGTAGCATAAAGTTTGTCCCCTACCCTGTTGTAAATACCAGTGAATGCATAAAAAGTTTTGCAATGTTATTTGCTGTCCTGAAAGGCAAGTAAAAACTAAATTATCAGCATCCTCATAATCATAACAAAAACTATTTAGAAAATGAGTGTAGGTAAAGTAAAAAAGGATCAAACAGATGTTGAAAGTAGAACTACTAAAATAATTGGAAGCCCTACATGAATAACTATTTTCCTTTGAATGTAGTCACACTAGTTTTTGGTGTTGAGGACACATCACTAACTGTATTGATATTTCCATGAGCAGTACTGCAGTAGCACTCCAAATTATTGTATTTGGACCAGAGTAATGTTGCTGAATTGCCATTCTACTATATTTTGTCAACTTTAATTTTGTTTTAAAGTTTATTCAGTTAAATTTTATCCCATGCATAAAATTTAACCTGACCACCACAAAAAAAAAAGTTTTAAAGGAAAATCGAACATTAAACTGTGTTGCAGTATCAAATATCCAAAGCAAATGAGGAATAGCAGCTAACTTTGTTTTATCAGTTCACCCAAGGAACATAAATTCACTCACATACTTTTTTACTAAAATGTCGGAAAAATAGACGTGAAGATTTAGTGATAAACTAACTCACGTTTGCTGTAAAATCAAAACTCTTTGACGCTGCATCTGTATCACCAAAGAACAAGAACGAATGTTGTTGTTTCCATGGTTCCATGTGTTTCCTATAAACTAATTGTTGTTCATTTGGAGACAAACAGTCATGTACAGTGTGGAGTCCTAACTTTTAAATGAGGAGTCTTCTTTTCCACAATTCTGTGATTTCCATAAGAAGAGATTGCCAGATTATAGGGAGGAAATTGCAGAAGATTTCTGAGCTGTGTGTTATATTGTTGCAGTTGACTCAGTATGAGAAAGAACAATCCTCCCTAGATGAGATAATGAGGAATAATAGAGCAGAACTCCTTCAACTTGAATTTCACATTTATGTTATTTCAACAATATGCATGGATATAATGTATTATCTCTAGTAATTTTATTGATGTATTTCATTATTATTTTATTTTTGATTGCTGTAATGTTGAACAATGATTAATGATAAATGTCAATTTAGCTGTGAGAGTTGGTTTTCTTAAATAATTTGTATGTATGAATGTATAATTTTGGTGCCATAGATTTGAATGATTTCAAAATTAGTTACCAAACTGAACTGAGCTACAGTACTGTGTCATTTATGAAATAATATAATACACATCAATTAATCAGTCACATAATGATGTGCGATGATCATGTGGAATATTTCTGCAACTATGAAAACATATGAATGTGACATGATGAAAGAAATAAAAAAAATTATTATTCACATTTAATAACACTGGACACTTATTGTTTTATTTTTTTTAAATAAAGGAATCTCTTCATCTCTAGTTTTAAATTAACAACATTTTTGTATTAATTTAATTTTTTCATCCAGGAAAATAAATGTTGTCATCTTAAAATTATAAAAGTTGTTCCCTTTCATAAACATTAATTAAAAGTGGATTGCAGTTATTTATTTAGATTTTTCTGTCAGTTATCTTCAAATGGAATGTTATATTCATTAAATTTACTTGATTATACGATCGCTGATAAACTAAACAAAAACAGCTTAAATATAAAATTTGAAAACATTTTAAACTATGCAAATCTTTTGTCACAATAAGAACATAGTAAGCACTGAATTAATTTCTGCACAGAAGATAAATAATTGTACATATTTAAATTTTGCCTTTGTTTTAAACAATAATTAAAATGCTTTTGTCATATGTACCATTTTTTGTGTAGATATGAAATTTTAAGAAAATAAAATGATTTTAAAAATTTCTGGCTGTGTTCTTCTAATGTTTTTAATAATAAATTCTGAATTTGACTTCGTTATAAAATAATTTTATAAAAATGTCTTTTGGTAACTAAACACAGGCTGGCTGGCCAATACAACTAAAATATTTAGAACCAAACTGTTCAAAAATCTATTTAATAAATTGTTTTTATTTTTCTTTATCTAATTGGTTTTAAAATATATTTCTAAAATGAATTTTTTTTAAATAATATGTATGTACATAAATATTTAGTCTGTGTTTAATTCAATTTATATTATAACATATCTTTTAGTAATGCTGCTTTCTAATCAGCTTTATCATTGCCAACATATAGTTCATGTTACTGATCAGTATCTTATTGTTACAATATTACTAGACCACAGTTAACAATATCAAAAGGCAATCTTTAGCCATTTGAAAGTATTTTTTTTATAGAGATCTAGTTTCTGCATGAACATAAAATAGATTGTTTCATGTCTATCTTGCTTTGAAACTTTAAAGCTATGAGTTTAAATAATGTTTTTATTGATCTGCACCTCAAAATTGCTACTAATTCCATATTGTTTTTTTAAATTATATATTAAGATATTCTTTATAGTCTATGCTGAATTATGCATAAGTATTTCATTTATAATTTTAAAGAGAAGTAGCTAAAAACTTCTTTCATAATTTGGTGATAATGGTGTGAGACAAAAGGCCTATTTGAAAGTATTTGTGATTTTATTAGTTACCACTGCCTACACAAATATTTTTTAAGAAAACTTCACATATCTGTGGGGTTTTTTTTATTATTTCATTGTTATTAATTTATTGTTATTTTACCCTTGCAATATATAATTTAATACAAGTCAAAGACTAGATGGAGGTTGTTTTTTTTTTAATATATTGTTAGAAAACCTGGCACTCTACTTAAATGTAGGCTCTGTTTTTTTAGTCCTCTCTAGTTGTATTTTATTTCTCTAACCTTATCTTTCACATTATGATCCTATATAGTCATTTTTTATTTGAAGACTGAATGTCACTGAATTAGCACCTCCAATGAAATCATTACTGATCAGTTGCCCATTTTTATTTCATTGGGAGTTCATTCATTTGTGTCTCTTTAATCTAAAATATGGAAATCTGGGGAGAGATAAGAAGGAAAAAAAAAAAAGGAGGTGGGGTGGCACCCCCTAAATGGGCATATCCTGCTCTCCTGACTTTTTAAATTAAAATTATTTAAATATATATTTATAAAAGATAAGCACTGTATCAAGGGACACAACTCAACACCAAAATAATTATAAAAAGAAAACTGACTCTTCATCAAGCTTCCTTTTATTTGTAAGAGATGTCCGCTTTGTATATTTAATAAACAACATTTTTTTTATTAATAGAGAGGTTAAAGCTGGGTTGTTTTTTTTTAAATTTTAGAATTATAACGGCTGGGTGGGGGTGGGGGGAGGAGAGCTTCCATACGCCAACGTGCATACAATTTTATTGATTTGTTAGCTAAACACTTTCATGGGCAAATGGGTAGGCAAATCAATTCATCATAGAGGTTCAATATGAAGGCCTATATTACGTCATACTTATTTCTTTGTCAACGAGCAACATCTATAATAACTAAAAAGAACCACAATATAGGCCTCTACAGAATAATTATGTTCTACCACACAAAAAGACTAGGGGATTATGGACACAGTTAAATGTACGGGATACACCAATGTCCAATATTAAAACATCTGGGTGAGTACCAATGTCCAACACTAAGTACCACTGAGTAGTACCAATTCAACGCTTCATTCGAAACTTTTAATCAGTTTTTCTTAAGGTGGGGCACGAAAATTTTGAAGGGAAAAAAAACAAACTTTATGCAAATGAAAATTGAAGTGAGTTTCTTATTAATGACAGCGCAAGGGGTCACTGAGCTAAATAATATTTGAAAATGGGTCATGGGCCAAAAAAAAAAAATTGTCGACAAACACTGATTGAACGAAATGATAATTGTAGCCTAACAATAAAATCATTTATATAATGGTCTAGCGATAATGATGTTGAACAACAAACTGAAATAGGGTACATCGCATTTATCGTACATGTTTTATTAGTTTTAGTCTTAGTCTACCGTCTTTATTTATTTTAACATCAGATTCTGTGCTGAATGTTCTCTTCATTATTTATTATACATTTCTAATTTTCCGGTATTGTTGCATTGCAGTTGATTAAATAATTATGTACATTTTATTTTGTATTGTCATCTTTATTATTAGTCCTGTTGTCGTTATGTCCTGAATCTTGACAGGGTTATTCACCAAGGTCAAAAGCTATGGAAAGATACATAATCATCATGCTAAGGTGGCAAATGGAGAATCGATAAGTTCAAGAATCTGATTTTGGCTTTAGGGTCGGAGTTCAAAACCTTATCCCGAATTCACAAAAGACTAACACTCATGCAGAACGACATGTCATCAAATGAAAAACACAGTAGGCATCAATAAAATACACGTATTCTTAACTCTAGGCGTTGAATGCAATACTGCAGAGTGGAGGGGGGGGGTCATTTGAGTATGCAATGCTGATATGTTTTCATGGACATTTTGGTGAAAATAGTATAACAAAGATGTGCAGCCTATGGACGATTTTTTTTTTCATTTTTGGGCAAAGAATTTGATCAACTTATAAATGTCGTTTTACTCATTCGTTTGATAAAGGGCACTCTAGCCCAGAACTTTTTAATGTCCAATTAGTCGTACCAATCTGCTTTTCGCCAAGAGTCACCACTGTGGTGCCCTGGCTTTGCACCATAGGGTCAGGGTTTCCTTCAGGGTCAGCAGGCCCCCCCCCCCAAAACGGGGAAAAGCAAGGGCCCCCCCCCCCCCGGAACAAAATGGGTAAAAACAATAAAATTTAAAAACGACCAAATTGTCATTTTTAAACAGTTTTAAAAAGAATAGTAACTGGTGCTTTATCTGTTGACAATTAGTGGAATCTATTGAATATCGCTACGCTCGATATATTTGATTATCCTTATAATTTAAAGGCGAATCTTGTTAATGGCTTATAGTATTCGATTAAAAATATCGCACTGGCCATTTCTAATTATAAGCCGATGATTTACTTCCCGCTGTTCGCACTTAAGGTATTTTTTATTATTTTTGGTTTTTTATTGTTTGGTTTTTTATTTCTGTTTTTTTTTATTCACTTTATTTTTTATTTTTTCAATTTACAAGTTTTAATACTTTAACACTGCATTAAAATACCTTTACATCAAGATCAAGGACTACAATTCTAATAATATTTCTTGCCAAGTAACAATTATCAAACATAGGCAGTCTATGTTCTAATTATATTTCATTATAAAAGCATGACTTTTAAATTAGGGATAAGTGTTAATTATAAATTGTATGATGATATTAGCCTGTAAAAAAAATATTTTTATTTGCATAACTAAAAATGTACTCGATTCCATGAATGCTGAGTTAAATAAAATGGAAACTTAAAAATTGAGAGATTTTTTTTTTCATTTAGAATTTAACGGGCGCATACAAAATTTCATTAATTATTATATCGAAAAAGTTTGTGTTTTCTTTATACGGGCTACGTTTGTAGCAAAGTTTCCTGATTAACATAGGTTTTAAAAAATATTTAGACAATGTTTATTAAATTCCCACTAACGTTTAACTTTTTAATTTTAGAATAATAAACCAACTGCCCGGTCTGTTTGCAAGGATTGCTTTTAAAAACAATATTTTTTCAAGATGAGAATCTATCAGAAAGCTAAAATAAAGAAGATGAACTAGCATTTCGATTATCATGCCAAATTCATTTTTTGTTGTTTTTTTTTTGTTTTTTTTTTGTTTTTTTTTGTTTATACTTGTTTTAGAATAAATTCTTATTCCTAATTTGTCAAATTTAAATAAATTCTTTGGATGGGGGGAGTTTTAGAATAAATTCTTATTCCTAATTTGTCAAATTGAAATAAATTCTGTGGATGGGGGGAGGGGGGAGGGGGGGGGGTGGGGGGGAATGTTTTCAAGTATATCTAATTGGCAATGCTCAATTTATCTGAGAATAGTTATAGTAGTTAAAATGAAAAATAACACAACTACGTAAAGCAGAGTTGTCACTCGACTTTTCGAGGCCCCTTTTGCCACTTTTTGGCTTTGTCCTCTCCCAAACTTGCATTGAAATTGATTGATAAGGCAACATCCACATCACATCTTAAAGCCTTAAAATATCCGAGGCCCACTGCAGTTGTAGGGATTGCTGAGCTCACAAGAACTGAAGACGCATAATCTAAAAGCGGCCGGACAAAGGCTTTATAGCAGGGGTCTCAAACTCGCCCCCCACACCCCAGCCTTGTCTCTGCCTACAGTTTAAACACGTTTTAATATTGAAAGCTTTCATAGAGAGGGATGAGGTGGTTGTTCATGTACTAAGTGATCCCAAATGGCGCATGGACTTGGCTTTTCTAGTTGACATTACACAGGAGCTGAATGTACGTAACAAGAAGTTACAAGACCAGGGGTAGCTTGTCAGTGTTGTCCATGACAATGTCAGGGCTTTCTGCACAAAACTTATGTTATGATTCTTGTAGAAACCTCTGCCATTTCCAAACATGCAAAGTATTCATGGACTTGGGCACACCACTCAGTAGTAAGTATACTAATTCCATTGCAAAGCTGCAGGAAGAATTTGATCACATGTTTTTAGACCTCAAAACACTCAAAGCGACTTTTCAATTTTTTGCTGACCATTTCTCCTTCAATGTGGAAGACGCCCCCAACCCCCTTTTCGCGCTTCAAATGGAGCTAATTGATCTTCATTGCATTCTAAGTTCAGGAAGGTGAATGGAAAAACAGACAAGCATGGATAATTTATGAGAACATTGCCCTCCACCTTCCCTAAGATTTCCAGGTTGTTCAAGCGGATCATTTGCCTTTTTGGGAGTACCTATCTATGTGAAAAGCTTTTTTCCAATATGAACTTTAACAATTCAAAGTTTAGGGCCAAACTTACTGGTGAGCATCTTCAAGCTATACTGAGGGTCTCAGTTGCAGGGTTTCTTTCAGGCATACTTTCGGGAGGGGGGGGGGAGAGACATGCCCCCCAGACATGGGCGCCCGCAGAAAACTTTCTAGGGGGGGGGCAAAAAAATCGATTAACTTTCCAGGGGGGGGGCAAAAAATTTTTAGTAATGTTTTAATGTAGTTTTAATTTACTGTAGCGTATTTTTGTAGTGAATGAACGGACAGGACATCAGCTTAGTTACTTTCTCTTTATTTTCTCTTTACTTTAATAAATTTTTTGTCTATTTTTGTCCAAAA